CACCCCCACGACCCGCGAACCTCGACCTGGACGAGGCCTGGAGTTCCCCCGAGGCCGCCAGACGCCAGCAGAGGATCCAGACCAACACAAGAACCTGGATCCTCAACTCTGGTGGTGGGCTTGTTTTCCACCACCACCACAATAAGTAGCAGGGGGGTCCTCCTCCTCCTCCCTCTTCCTCCTCCTCCTCCTCCTCATCCCTTTTCCTACTCCGCCTCCTTCCCCCCCTCCAACTTCTGGCGGTGGTGGCGGAAAGCAGGCCCATCATCTGGAACATCCACCCTCGACCATGACTCTGGACGCCCGACGTACGGAAAACATGGGCACAATGCCCAACAACACATGTTGTCCCAAATCAACAGCGGCCGCTGTTGGGCAGGCGGCCCTCTGTATCAAATGGACACGGGCCGCGGCGGCGCGGACAGCGCGTCCTGTCCAAAATGAACAGCAACTGCTGTTGGGCACTGTGCCCATTCTGTCCGTACTCCAGATTTTGTAATAAAGGGAAGGGGGATCTCATTTCGGGGGGGGTCTCTTCCAGGCTATCTTGGAGGGCCTGGGGGGGTCTGGGGACGATGTTTTGGAGGGTTCTCCCACGGGGGGGGTCTGAAATGGCTTGTCTTGGAGGGTCCAGACCCCCTCCCTTTTATTACGAGATCTGGAGTACCCATTTCGTTCGTGCCGAATGATGATGGCCTCGAACCTCGAGCCTCCACGCGGCGTCCTTCTTCTGCGCCAGGCCGGCGCACGTGGAGGCGAGGGCGGACAGCGCCAGGACGCGGCAGGCCGCCATCGATGCTGGGATGCTACCGGAAGGGCGCCGTATGCCCAGACCCAGGAGTTGAGCAGGGACGGACCGTTCCGGCATTCCTACAGGCCTACCACGACATGTTCGTAGAACCCGAAAACGTTCTAAGAACGAAACAAATGTTCTTAGAACAGAGAGCCGATGTGTTAAAACAAGACAGTCCCAGCCAGAAATGTTCCAAGAACATTTCGTGCAAACCACAAAAGGTTCTTAGAACATTCGCTGGTAGGCCTATAGGCAAGCCACGACGCTTCGCCACTGCTTGAAAGAATCCGCCGTCGTGATCTCTGTCACAGCGTGGACGCCCCGGACCTCCGGACCCTTTCCCCGGGAGCGGCTTGCCAACCTGGCACGCGTTTCGACAGTCCTGGGGCCTGGTGAGGGCCCCTGCAGGCCGCAGGCTGCGAGGAACCGTCCATCGCGACTCTTTTCACGACGCGAAGAGTTGGGGGGGGCAGCTCCAGAGGTTGGGGAAGGATCGGGTCTGGGCTCTTTCTTCGAATTCTCTCGGCCACTCCGTGCCCCAGTGCCTCCGTTTGTGGCGAATCTCGTCTGACCTTCTCCGCCCGTCCTGAACAGCAACAACAACAAAAACAACAACAACAACAACAACAACAACAACTACTACTACTACTACTACTACTACTACTACTGCTGCTACTACGACTGCTACTACGACTACTACTACTACTACTACTACTACTACTACTACTACTACTACTACTACTACTACCACGACTACTACT